TTCTTCCTATTGCAAACATAATGGAAGATAACTCCTGGTCTGCAATACTTAAAAACTTTTGCAGTGTGCCTCAATGTTTGAATAAATACCTCTGCTGAAACATGTGATCACTGTTTATCGGCCCAGATGAAAATATTACTGAAATTGTTACGAACTCTTTTATAAAAAAATTTCGACAGTGAAAATTGTCCCCCCAAGGTCAGAAGCCTTGTAAGAGAGACCCTCGCCCGTCGCCGGGTTTTTTGAGTGCAGAGGAATGGCCCCAGCTAATTTTACTTCCTCTTGCTAAAAGCTGGGGACACCGAGAGCAACACGGGCCCCGACAAGTGTAGCCAGTGCCAAGTGACGTTGAAAACAGGACTGGCGCACTGTCATGTGTCGCCCCCTCATGTCTAGCGGAATGACCTCAGGAGACAGAATGAGGTGGCCTGGCGGGATACGAAAACGACTTGACATGGATATGCCATAGACACAGTGGCTCCGAACCAAGCATGCCGCCTACCGCCTCAGCGCTAAGGCTCCGTGGCATCTACAGGAAACAAAGAAATCTTTTTTCCTGCATAGGAAACCCGGAAAAGGGCTCGGAGAATAGACCCGATGCAAGTGTACCTAGCCACCAGAGGGGCGTAATGGATTACACTGCGCCGCCAGGCAACCGTGGCTCTCGAAGACCCAGACGGATCGTCTTGAACGAGTGCAAAACCAAGCTCTGAGACGGATCACGGACCAAACTGCATCATCTCCTGTGAAAGCCCTCCGCATTGAAGCGGGGGTTCAGAGCTATGAGACAGAGTCAAGACCACTCTCCGCGGTAGCCCGAGAAAAAGCCTACAGGAGCCCGCCTTTACACCCCAGACTAATCGCGCTCGAAGGCAACCAGAGGCACAGACTGTGCCGAGACAACAGGAGAAAACAGAGCAAGCGATTTGAAGACTCCTTACCTACAGTTTTATCCCCCAGGGAGCCATTGACCCAGCCTTCAGCCGACCCCTGGTCCTACACTGCTAGAAAATGGCCGGTGCGCCCGAAACTAGCCTGTAAGAATAGAAGCTAAGACACCTGGTTGACGCCTTTGAGGTCATTATAAACAGCGGTGCGAGGTGGGTCATCTATGGACCAGCGACGGAGGAGCGTGGATGGCAGTGACCCATGGAGAACCATCCGTTCCAGTTGCTGTGGATTGCAGAAAAGTGAAAGGCGGAAAAGTCACCTCCTCGTACGAGGAGGGGAAGGAGGCGTTAAAGGCTGCAGTGAACAGGAGAAAAGGCCATGCTATCAAAGAAAGTGACAAAATCATGATCTGTACCGACTCGAAATCTCTGACTACTGTTCTCAAGAATGACAGCAAAGACATCATTCGTATTGGACGACAACATTACTTCCTAAAACGCCACATCGAAACCCTCGGCCACATGGAGATTCCTCGAAACGAGATTGCAGACAGACTAGCAAACGATGCCAAAACCCTGAAAAGCGATCACCGACCAATTACTTTCAAGAGTGCAACATCCGTGATAAAAAGATCTATCACCGACAACAACCCTGATTTAAACTGCGCCCATTACTCGAAAAACTTCATTTGAACTGTGCTCATTACTCACTAAATCTGAAATAAACTGTGCACTCTCAACTAGAAAATCTGCTGTAAACTGGGCTCATTGAGCAGAAAATCCGGTATAAACTAAGCTCGTTACCCAAAAAGCTGATTTAAACTGCGCTCTTTACTCAAAAAAAAGCTGATTTAAACTGCGCTCATTACTCAAAACACGATTTAAACTGCGCTCAGTAACCAGAAAGTCTGATTTTTACTGCGCACTCTACCCAGATAACTTGATTTAAACTGCTCTCATTGACCAGAAAACCTGATTTAAACTGCACTCACTACTCAAAAAATCTAATTTTAACTCCGTTCAATACTCAAAAAACTTCATTGAAGCTGCGCTCATTAATCAGAAAGTCTGTATAGTAACATGTTCATCGGGGGAGATGGTCATAGCTACAAAGTTGCCAGCATCTGCTCTTTTATTTGTGCAGCACCTTCCCGGACACAAAGCCTCTCAGTGACAAGCCTCAACCTGGTGTTTTCTGCTTGACATGTTATAATGATCCAGAAACGGTCGAGCATTATTTCCACGCCAACTTTTCTACCAAGAAAAACTATCAAGAACTCACGTATTCAAGCTGAAAGGCAACCTTTGAAACATTTGGATAAAACTTATCACAAAATATCTGGAAAAAAGAGCAAAGCTGAATTGTAGGGTCCGATGATTCCAGAAAAAATATTACGATCTAGCAAATCATCTATCATTTTTTTAGTCATTTTTCTTTTATTGCATGTACTCAATCTGAATTAACAAATAAATTGATGTAGTTTTCTCGTTTTAAATTTTCTGCTTCGACCATTTATAGAATTTCAATTATGGCCGAGAGTGAGCGTTGTACCCCGCCATTATAGATACCACAAAAAAAAACATGCAATGTCAAATAACTAATCGTGTAGATTTAATTTCCCAGAAGAACTTTCAATATTAGATTTATCTCGTCTTCAGGATATTTAGGCCAAAAATTTTGCCACTCGGAATAACCTATCGGAAAACTGATAAGAATTTAAAGTGAAAAGGACATGGGTGTCTATTTTTATTATGGTGTCAAATTTTTCGAAAAAACTTTTCGAGCCAATTTTTGGATAATTTTAAAACTCTATAGTAAATCTATTTTATGAATTTATTTTGTTAAAACCGCTAAGAGAACCAACATCTTTTGAAAAATTTTTCAACTTTATACGTCTACAAACTATTTTAGTGTTTGAACCATAAACCGCTTAAGTTTGAATATAAATCTTGATCAGTCCAATAATGCTTTTAAGTTCTTAAAAAAGTGCGTGAATGAATGCCACAAAGATCCAAATTGGTAAAACGTGTTAAGCGAATCTAAACTTTTTTCTTGAAACTAGCTCAGTTTTGCTTTCTGACTTCTGAGGTGGGATCGTATCTACAAACCATTAGTGATCTCAGCCCTATGATGGTTCTGATTTAAATTATCCGGAAAACCATCATGTTTGAGCGCGATCAATTTTGAATTTTCCGAAAAAAAAATCAATTCTATCTATATATGTTTCAGTACTGCGTTTAAAATAACCAAACTAGTTGTTCTGGCCATTTTAAAAACGCGGAGGAACTTTGTATTCGGGTGTATTTTATTTTTTTTTGCTTTTCACAAAAATCAGGTACCACAAGTAATCATGGGACCGAGACGAGTTATACATCATATTAAAGACCTTTCAATCGTGATTCGAACGACAATAAAAAATTTGTGTCGAGAAACTGGTCGTAAGTTTTTGACTTTTGGTCTAACTTCGATCTAATAAGGTGATCGTGCAGTGCAGTCTTACAATAGGTTATTTATGCTTAATAACCTGAGTAAAAACCTTTTCATTTAATCTCCTGAGTAAAGTTAGTTTTTGGAGATTTTCAGCGTTATTTAGTGTGTCAAACACTTCAATGTTTCTGCAATTTTTTTTTAATAATTACAAATTTTTTCTGCGATTTTTTTTCCATTTTTTTGTAATTTTTGTCCAGATCTTTTTATCACACCACGCTGAAAAAACATTCATGAGAAAAAAGTTTTTTTGAAAAGATTTTGTTCGGAAAGTTATCCGCTACTTGCACAGTAACCGATTATCCTTGAGTTCGAATGGTCCCATATTTACAGACTGAAATCGAATTAGATCAGTCAACTTCATGTTCCTTCTGTAAAATAAATCATTCCCGATAGACAAATAAAAAAACCTTTACTAGCAAACAAATTGCATAAACAATTAATCAAAAAACCTATCAGTTCAATAATTTTCACCAAAAGAAACTTATGAAATGGCATTCTGATTGCTATGATAAAAATTTAAGCTTCAAAATGCAGCCAAATCAGACAGTCGAAAACTTCTAGTAAGCAAAAAAAGATCTAGGCCGGACTCCAATTCAAGGTTTTTTTTTTCGTCACAATCCAAGGTTTAACACCAAGGCTAAATACAAAGACCAAAATAGCAATTAAGAACAAGTTGAAATACGTGTAACATTTTCGAGTGCGAATTCTGTATACAAAAAATTTTACACAGAGGCGAAGTTGCACAGATTAGTCGAATATATGAGTAAACCTTGAGTCTACATAATTTCTTAAGCGACGCACGCCAATTATGAGTCTACGTAATTTCTTAGTGACAAATTCATCAATTAGCATGCCTCAATTTAAAGGGAGGACGCATTTTAACTAGTCTACGAAAAAGTTTAATAAAACCATCCGACCCTGCTCACCATCGAACCCTCTGATTTTGTTGCGGATCTCCTTTCCTACCTATACGCTACAGATCCATGATACCTTGAAGCTAAAGTGACATTTGTAATATAAATCGGTGTTGATATCTTTAGAATTGTCTACACTTAATAGCTGGCTATTCATCTTATGTACATAATGCAATAAAAGAAAATTTCAAAATGAACTCTAATATTTGCGGCTTAGGTTGGAAAAAAAGAGATTTCCTACTATCACTCAGGCTTTGCTTCTGTAATGAGATGAAAGTCTTACCGGTTGCATTACCCTTGCTTATCACGAAGTTCATCAGCTTTAAAAAACATAATTAAAAATTTGGTTTACATTAAAAATTAATTTGCATTTGAATTTTGATAACCATTAATTCAGAGAGACGAGCAATAAGTAAATTCCACTAGACAGCTTTGGTTTCTTTTGTTTGGCAAAAAAACTATTTGCATCTGATAGACAAGGAAAATCTTTCACTGCCCATGATATATTTAAACAACATTTTTGATCCGACTATTGAAAATTGGGAGAAACTTTCTATTCGGGTGTGTTTTAGTTTTAGACTGTGCTTTATCTATGAGTGTTTTAAACTATGCTCGATGATATTTTTACTCGATTTTTAAGATCATGCGTCCTTAGCTCTCACAAAAAATGATCTCAATCTTATCTAAGTTATTTGGATAAGAAAATCACATACAGTCTTTTGATAAGCCGATTTATTTAATGATAAATTATTTATTGTGGAATTTCAGCCTTGAGTCAAATTTCAGCCGTCTTTCAATTTCATTTTCCGCCAAAAACCGAATATTGAAGATTTTTAGTACGCTTTGCTCATCAATGAATTCTTTGAAGGCATGCACGAATCTCGGCTAGGGACTCCGCGATCAGGACACATGTCTGCCAATCTGTTGTATCCCTTTGCTTCTCATCATCTTCTTCCGTTTCGGTCTTAATCTCTTTCTGACGAAGAGACAAAAACTTGTGCCTTTTGTTTTCTGAATATTCAGTATCGCTTTCAGATCCTCCGAAGTGAGGTTCTTGGCAATCGTATTGGTCAATTGCGATCAGGTCTAGATGATCCGGCTTGAACGACTTCAGTTTTTGTTCCATTTGCTCGACATCGGCAATTTGTGGATGACGCGCCCTAGACAGGACCCAGATCACTTCAGCGGGAACATTTTCAAGCATAACGCAAGAATAGATAATACAAATTTCCTGATCAAGATACAGGACAAGTAAATTGTATTCAGGGATCTCGGGGAACTCCGAAGCGGACATGAGGAAAGATCCGTGGTCGGATCTGCTGGCAACACTTTGATGTCCTTCGATGACGCTGCTGAAGAATTTCTGACTTGATGTACTGAAGCCAGTACCGTTCATGCGCAATGTCCATTCTGAAAATAAAAATGAAAGCTTCGACCCGAAAAAAAAACAAAAAGCAAGATAAAAATACGAAAGAACTGAAGTTAACTACTCTTAAGAGAAAAAACCATAATACGAGCTGTTCGGTTCTTCGTGAAGAAACGATGTTTTGTCCTGCTTAGAACTACATAAAATTTGCATGTTATATCACCCTGAAGTAATGCGCAAATATTATGGTGGGTCATGAACCATTGGCCTCTCCATTTCATAGCAGAGACCTTGGCCACTTCGCTAGCACTCCAAATCAGTTAGCGAAAAAATTTTACGAGTAGGCGTGACAAGAATTCTTTTACCTGTGAAACAAGTTAGTGAATTATTTTCGAGCGCTCTTTTGTGACATGGATTCAAAAAATATTTAAAATGATTCACGCGTAATTTTCGTGCTGCATCCATCAAATAATAACAAATGGAATTGACAATCATTTTACAACTTTGCAAACAATTTGAGGCGAACTTAACTAGTGCTTTCAACTCACCTCTACCTGTAACGCTGTTGAAATTTGATGTAGGTCAAAACGGCGATCCGGGTTGGGGTAGCTCAGAAAAAAAACGGTCTCAATTGAGACTGAAAAACATTGAAAGAGAGGCTCAAGGAAGAAAAATATCGGGGAAAAACATGCGGAAAAGCTAAATTTGGGTTCTTACGGCCTTTGTTGCCGGTAAGAGATAACTCCTCAAATATGCAGGTGGTCACCTCCTGATCGACAATGAGGTCCGAACTAGACCTCAGCGCCACAAACCAGCGGCCTGAAAGCATCTTGTCGTCTATGTGAGCAGCTCGCAGTTTTGGACACTTTTCTTTCAATGTTTTTGCCCCCGTGACTTGGAAGAAAAATGCCACGAAGATCAGCGAACATTGAAACAACTTGCTCTTCATTTTTGAAATTCGATCTCAATGAGTTTACCCAATTTTAAGCTGACGGGATAAAATTCTCACTGCACAAGAAACTTGTGATGCAACGTTTTCATTTAATGGAGGACCATGAAATTTACATTTCAAACGACAAAGTAATGCCGAACTATTTGTATTTGTAATAACAGGTTACACTTCATATATTGAATGTCAGATTGCTGTTTTGCGTATTTGGCAAATGCTTGAAGATGATAGGCGAAAGACAAAAATCCATAAGAACTCGATAATTTTAAAGGCTACATTTGGCTGCTGCGTTCGATTTCTGAAAGTTTTCGATGTTTGACTTAGTGCTGATGTCTTGCTTTTCATTGAAAAGAAGCGTGTAACGCATCTCCGGTGCTTCGAATTTTCAACAACTCATAAAAACCGCATGTATTGAAAAAAAATATCTTAATTTTGAGTGTACCCTGACAGCACCCAATTACATGGTTTGTAGTTTCAAATGTTGTCAAGATTTTTATTCAAATTTTTTTAATTCAAATTTTGAAAAACCAAAAACTTTAAGTTTTATGTATAAAATCTTTTGAGAAAGCTTAAAGTGAACTAAGAAACGTCACATTTTGGAAATTTAGAGCAAAGAGCAGTCGCATTTGAACGCAAGATTTGCAACAACAGTATTGTGAGAGTATTGTCACAAAACCCAACTACAGGGTTAGGAATTTCAAAATGAGAAACTTTAAGTTTTCTAAAAACAAAAACTTCTAAAAACAAGAATGATAAGAAACTTAAAATCTCTAAAACTTTAGAGACTTGCGCAGTTATTTTTCAAGGCAAGATTCGCAACCCCTGATAGTACTCTGGCAGCCCCCAACTTCAGGTTTAGAAATTTCGAATTTTGAAAAAAGAGTTAATTTAAGTTTTCTGAAAAGATTTTGAAAAAATCACAAAAACGTCTATCTGGAAAACTAACAAGATTTGAGCAGTCTTTTTTAGAGGCACCATTTGCAAACCCTAAAAACCGGAGAAAAGTCTGAGAGCCCCCACTACAGAGTTGTGAACGCCAAATTTTGAAAAAAAAGTAAATTTAAGTTTTCTGAAAATTTTATGAAATAATCACAAAAAACGTCATATCTCAAAAACTCCAAAGATTGGACCAGTAAAAATTGGAGGCAAAACTCGCAACTCCTGGGAATATCATGAAAAAGCCTTATTTTGGAGATAGGAATTTCAAATTTTGAAGAAAAATAAAGAAAAATTAAGAAAAAAATAAAGAAAAACTGCAGGTTTGAGGTTTGAGGTTTCCATATTATTTCTAGCAATTAATTAAAAAAATTAAATTTAGGTTTTTGATTTTTTTTTGAAAAAAATAACAAAAAAAAGTCTGATCTAAAAACTACAAGCAGTTGAGCAGCCTTATTTGGAGGAAAATTTGCAACATCTGAGAGTACTATGGCAGCCCCCAACTGCAGGGTTAGAGTTTTCAAATTTCGAAAAAAAAGAATTAATATAAGTTATCTGAAAATATTTTGAAAAAATCACAAAAAAGTCATATCTGGAAAACTAACAAGATATGAGCAGTCTTATTTGGAGGCACCATTTGCAGACCCTAAAAACCGCAGAGTAGTCTGAGAGCCCCCACTACAGAGTTGGTAACTCCAAATTTTGAAAAAAAAAGTATTTTTTGGTTTTCTGAAAACTTTAAGAAAAAATCCCAAAATCGTCATATCTCAAAAATTACAGATTTGATCAGTAATATTTGGAGGCAAAACTTGCAACTACTGGAGTATCCTGAAAAATCCTTACTTTAGAGATAAGAACTTCAAATTTTGAAGAAAAACAAAGTAAATTTAAGTTTTCTAAAAACTTCCTGAAAAAAATCCTAAATTTGAGACAAGATTTGTAACTCTTGAGAGTACTTTCACATTTTCCAACTACATTAATTTTCTTCAAAATTAATGATTTTTTCTCTATGTATATTTTTTGAAAATGTTTGAAAAACCATAAAAACTTCATATCTCGAAAACTACAAGTAATTGAGAAATGAGACAAGTAATTGAGACAGATTTGATCAGTAATATTTGGAGACAAGACTTGCAACCCATGAAAGTACCCTGACAACCTTCAACTGCAGCGTTGAAATTTTCATATAATTTTTTAGCAATTTTTGAAAAATCTGGAAAATTGCAGTATCTCGTAATCTAAAAGTATTTGGTCATTCATTTATGGAGGCGAAAATCGAAACACCCGCGAAACCCGGACAGCATCCCACTATTGGGTTGCTAATTTCAAACTTGGTGAAATAAACATTGAATTCAAACAGTAAAAACGAAAATTAAATTTTAACCATTGCAATAAACGATATAGCACAAAGGTGAAAAATTCCTTTTAAACATGCAAAAAAAACAAGTTGAAAAAGCTTAAACATGGCGAGATATTGAAGCCCGTATTTATATATATAATGTTGTTGTTGTTGTTGTGAATTTTCAGTAGGATACTGATGGGACGATATCCCCAAAGTTCTCAAAATTTTGTCCAGTTATTTCGGCACATGGATAGATTTGATAATAGAAACTCAACATATTTAAAATTTTCAATGTTTTTTTTTCATTTTTTCATCAGGCTTTTATAAAATGTTGCAGTGAAAATGAGATTGTGAAAGTAACAAGAAAAAGGATAGGAACGGGTTCAACCAATTTCCTCGGGTTCAACTCAACACTATTTCATTACAAGTAAAAAATAATCATAGGGCACCTTGTTCCGTGTGTGTGAACGTAATCATGAAAATGGTTGGAAACATCTACCACGTTTCACCTCAAAACTATTTTAAGCAAAAAAAATTAAAAGGGCATTCTTATCAGAACGTAATCATGAAAATGATTGGAAACATTTACCAGGTTTCACCTTAGAACTATTTTATTACAAAAGAGAAAAAACTAGAAGGGCATTTTGAGCCGTATGTGTGAACGTAATTAAAACATGATGGGAAATTTCGCGGTTTGAACTTAAAACTATTTCATAACAAAAACTAAAAATAAATGAACTTTTTGATAAAAAGTAAATTTCAAATGTTTTCGATGTGCATCATCAAGATTTTTACAATAAACTCATCTAAATGATGATAAAACATCAATTTACAAATGTGATATACAATAATTCACAAAAACTTCGGTTCTTGACCATCATGTTAAAAAATTAGCCAATCACAGTTGAATTCTGAAACTACTATTTAGAATAAAATACTTTAAGCTTTTAAATTTAATTAAACAACTTTTAATTATTTTCTGGAAGTTTCTGAGTCATAACTTCGATTTAGACATGAATGTTTTAAATAAAAAACCTAAAATATTTAAGGACTAATTTTTCAGTGTTAACTCCCTGCTCCTAAATTCATCGCGCGTGTTCAAGCCCGGTTTCTCTTTCCTGATATATTTTGCCTTTGTATTAAAAGTTTTGCATGGTTGTTTGACCTATTTATGATTTCCCAACCAAGATCTGCGCTATTTCCATCAAGACTGCATTGCTGAAGGTGGAGGCCTAGCGGTGAGTCTGCTTTCTTATGTTCTTTAATTTTAGTGGTCAAATGACGAACAGTTTGTCCGACATAGGTGGAAGTGTGTCCACTACATGACAATTTATAAACCACTCTTGACTTGAGGTCATTAGAAAATGCTGACTTCAGTGAATCTAAACAGGGTTGCAGTTTGTTTTCTTGTAGTGAAAACCGCTTGAGCGTCATTTAAATTTCGTAACCTACTTGCAAAATTATGGCTTTGTTTACCTCTATATTTCACCATTAGCATTGGTGGCTTCACAGCTTTTGGTGACTGAGTTGACAAACTCCTCTCACTAACCACGTAATAAAAAAAAAAATGGGAAATTTCGTGGTTTGACCTTCAAAACTATTTTATAACCAAAAACTGAAAATAATAGAAATTTTTGATAAAATTTCTAATACTTTTAGTGCTGAGTAAAAATAATAGGATATCTTGTTCTGTATGTAAGGATATTATACTCCTGTGAGTAGAGTTTTTGGGTTTTTGTGCTTTTGTTAATTTTTTGCTAGATTTGGTGATTTTCTCCAAGCTCAATGCGTTGTTTCAAGCTTTTCTCTTACATTTTACAAACCTACAATCAGGAGTTCCTTAAATTCTTCCAGTAAACTTTCTAGTAAACTTATAGCTATGGAAGAAAAAGGTATAATGTTGATAAAAGAGAGTCAGATGGTTGGAAAGCCAGCCAACCAGATTGAGAAAACTAATACCTGCACAGAATAAACCGTAATTGGAAGAAACTAAAAAGAATGACCTGATTTGCGGCTACGGGTCAATATTATACATATACAAAGCTGAGCGATTTTTTCTTGGCTCTAAAAATAAAACATCTTTCGTCAAAAGTAGCTTCATTATTATTAGCGCTGAGTACACATGCATTCGGAAAATTACGTATCCTGGGTTTCTCATTCTAAAAGCTCAAGTTCTTAAAAAGCTTATTTATAAAAGTTTCAGATGTGAGGGCGGCGGCAACACAGCAGAAAGTATGTTTTTGAGGTCTCAGAGCACGAATTATAGTCGTCGGCTACGTTTCCATCATCTAAAAACCAAACGTTTGTTTTGGATGCAAGCTTTTTGACCAGCATCTCTGTTGTTTCAGCAAGCAGCTGTGGAGCCTCGGGTTATTTTGTTGTGTCCGTCCTCCGAAATTATGAGAATTCCATAGAAAGAAAACTCGGTTTACTGTAGGCGCAATGAGTAAAAATGTACAACTTAAAGCAGTGTTTCTAAAGGAGTGTGCACACCTCCATCTATTTTTATGAGGGCCACAACTTTTGCTCGCAAAAAACAAAGATCTTAACGGTTTGGTTTTTTACCTTCTCGTATAGGATTGAACAGCCTAGTAAGCGATTTCAAGCAATTGATCCCCGCTTTATTGTTTGATTCACTGGAAAAAAAATGTTTAAGAAATTGGGAAGCAATCTTGTCTGGACCGGCTCCGAACCTTTTGGAAAAACAATAAACGCATTGTACACCTCGAACTCAGTAAGAAAAAAGGTATGGAAAAATTCCAGGTTTGGGGCGATTATATCAGCTTTTTTGGGTGCTTAAAAACCTATTTCTGATGGTTAGCAAACAAAAAAGGTGCGATCTGGTCATCTTAAGCGGACAGCTTTATTCCTCCCTTTGACTCA